GGGGCGCGCGCTGGCGGTACTCGCGGTGGCTCTTGGTGAGCAGCGTGTAGAGGAAGGGGTTGGCGCAGCTGTTGCCGTAGGTGAGACAGGCGGTCAGGTAGTTGACCAGGCGCGCCGTGCGCGGCGAGAGCGACAGGGCTCCGCGGTGCTGGGCCAGCAGCTGCCACAGCCAGAAGGGCAGGAAGCAGCCCCAGAAGAGCAGCACGACGCCCAGGGTGAGGTAGAGCACCCTGGGGTCCGGCAGCCGCCGCGTCCGCGGGAAGGAGGCGCGCTGCGACCGCCAGTAGGCCCGGGCCAGCCGCGCGTAAAGCAGGCCGATGACCAGGCCGGGGCCCACGATGCTGGTGCCGAAGAGCAGCGTCAGGTAGGCGCGGTGGGCGCTCTGGCCCCAGACCGGCAGGCAGAGGCTCTTGTGGCCCCTGCGGACCAGCCGAATGGCCAGCATCATGGGCAGCGCCAGCAGCAGCGCCAGCAGCCACGTGCCCAGCACCAGCACCTTGCGGTAGCCTTTGGAGCGCTGCACGGCGTCCAGCGGCCTCAGCACCGCGGCGTAGCGCTCGCTGCTCATGACCGTCAGGGTGAAGATGCTGGCGTGCATGGTCAGGAAGTCTAGGCTGAAGAGCACGCGGCAGCCCACGTCTCCGAAGTGCCACTGCTTGGTAACGTAGGTGGCCACGATGAAGGGGATGCTGAACAGGTAGAGCAGGTCGGCCAGCGCCAGGTTGATGATGTAGACGTACATGGAGGCCGCGGCGCGCAGGGAGCGGCACACCACCACCAGGGTGTACACGTTGCCGGCCACGCCCACCGCGCCCATGGCCAAGAGCACCACCCCGATGGCACCCGTGGCCACCATGTCCTCCAGGGTGCTGGGCTCCGTCGGGCTGGCCCACGAGCTGTTGAGGGATGCGTTGGAGCCTCCAGGCGGCTCGGGCAGGGGGCTGCCCGTGGTAGCCAGCGTGGGGACCCTGCTCGTCAGCTCCAGGCTCAGGGCCATCTCTGCCGCCTCACGCTGGGATAGGGGCTGGGGCGTGCTGCATCTGTGCACGGGGCGGGGGCATCTGTGGGCAGCAAGCTTGTCCTGCAGGAGAAGATGCCCGTTCATGATATGGATCAGGCACCCCCTCCCATTCCCACGAGCCCGAGTGAAGGCAGTTTGCACCGGGTTGGGGAGGGGGCTGCAGAGGGACAGGGCTCACCTTAGGGACTCTCTGTTCAGGATTTTACCGCTCTGCCTCACTTCCCAGTCATCCAGGGGGACCAGGGAACCACATGTCCCAGCAGCACCTCGCCCTGGGCCTCAAAGCAGGCCCAAAGGCCTCTGGGGCTGACCAGACGTTTCCGAAAATCGGGGCACAGTAGGGCAGCCCCCGAGGGCGGGTCAGCCGTAGATGGAGCCAGGAGTCCTCCCCAGGCCTCACCTTTTCATCTGTGAATGAGCAGGGGGCCTCGCTTACCCAGGGTCCTTTCTCCCAATTTATTTCTCTTGCATGTTTTAAAAATACCGTCTGTTCAGACTGCAAAAATAGTATCTGTTGACTTTCAGGGTTCAGTGGGAAAACGCACGTGGCAAAGAGGGAAGAGCCCGCAATCTCCACGTAGCCACGTGGGGAAAATGAGCATTGATCCCCAGCCTCCCGGCCTGCACAAAGTGACTCAGGACGGGCTGTGGGCCTGCATACAACTGGCTAAGTCAGTCATCAATTGAGCTTCTGGAACAAAGGGGGAGATTATCTGCATGACCCTAGGCAGGCAAAGATTCCTCAAAAAACACTTGAAATAAAAGAGAAGGCCATCAAGTGCACTGCGCTAAAATCAGGCAGAGGAGTAGTACGGAAATGTACACAAGAACCACCCAGCAATAAAGGCTAAG